AAATAATCCTTGTAAGTTTACATTTACAAGTCGAAACGTGTGAATACAAACTACCAACAAGCACTAATTTTTTGGGTCAAATATAATCATGCAATAAGATTAAATCAGTCGTAGTGATAAGAGCAGACCAGTCCCTACAAGCAGCACTCGTTCTCACTCATAGGGGGCGAGTGCTGATGGCACTCCAAACCAAAGGAAGGACTTATAGAGCGGCTCAAGGCCAACTCCCGCCTGACGGATACGACAAGTCTGAGGGCACCGCTAGGGGTTCGAACCACGGCTCAGGCCATCGTAATTTTGATCCTCGTTTGAATCGGACGGGGGATCGATCGGTGGGGCGATGAGTACAAAAAACAAATTTACGATTATTATAACGAACGATATTATTCTATTCTATTTATGATTGCACTAAGATGTCCCACTACACTATTGCAGTATAATCTGAACAGTAGAGTTTTCTTGTAAATTTATTTGAATATATTAATTTCTATTCTATTTATGATCGCACTAAGATGTCCTACACCATGGCACTATAATCTGAATTGTAAAGTTTTATTGTAAATTTATTTGAATATATTAATTTCTATTCTATTTATGATCGCACTAAGATGTCCCACTACACTTTGGGCATTATAATGTGAACAGTGGAGTTTTCTTGTAAATTTATTTGAATAATTTATTTTCTATTCTATTTATGATCGCACTAAGATGTCCCACTACACTATGGCACTATAATCTGAACAGTAGAGTTTTCTTGTAAATTTATTTGAATAAATTATTTTCTATTCTATTTATGATTGCACTAAGATGTCCCACTACACTATTGCACTATAATCTGAACAGTAGAGTTTTCTTGTAAACTTATTTGAATAAATTAATTTCTATTCTATTCTATTTATGATTGCATTAAGATGTCCTACACCATGGTACTATGATCTGAACTGTAAAGTTTTATTGTAAATTTATTTGAATAATTTATTTTCTATTCTATTTATAATCGCACTAAGATATCCTACTACACTGTGGCACTATAATCTGAACTGTAAAGTTTTCAATGAAACAACCTAATTTAATGATCCACGAATAAGTTATGGTAGTTCGTGACGTAGGTATAACACGCGATGTTTGACACGCGACTGTCACTCTTCACCAGAAGGGGAATATACCACCAAATTTATGTCCAACAGCACTACTGACGTTAAGTCGATATTGTTGGGACAGACCGATGTCTATAGAGCATCGATACATTACAATTTTATTTATTTCAGGCTATAAGGCCCATATAACCTTATAGAAGTTACCACTTTTGTATGTCGTAGACCTCTTACCATATTTTTCGGGTTTAGGTAGACCCTCTATTCTTACCTGGTAGTGATTTTTTGTAAATTTCTAACTGTAGTAAAGTTTAGTGTTAAAAACATAAAGTAAAAACAAGATGAGCCCTGTCGTAGACCCCTTGCAGTTTGTCATAGACCCCTGGGGGTCGATATAGACCACTTTGGGAATCATTATTAAAGACCAACATATTGGATTAACTTTATTAATATAATAAAATGTTTGTGAGTATGGATGGATGTTTGTTACTCTTTCACGCAAAAACTACTGAATGAATTTTGATGAAACTTTACAGTAATGTAACTTATACATCAGTATAACGTATAGGATATAATATTTAAGCGGATAATACCGCGGGCACAGTTTGTATAATTTGTAATAACATATAAGTCATCATTACATAGTATAAAATAAAGTCGCTGTCGCTGTCTGTCCGTCCCTATGTATGCTGAAATCTTTAAAACTACGCAACGGAATTTGAAGCGGTTTTTTTAAATCGATAGTGATTCAAGAGGAAGGTTTATATGTATAATACATGTACACCCGGGCAAAGCCAGGTAGGCAGTTAATATTATAAAACTAATATATTGATATAGTGAAATTGTCTGTATGGTCACGGCACTGACGACGGTAATCTGCCACGGTAGCGCCGATACACCACACCCTTCGGCCAGTAGTCCTCCTTCATGAAGGTGGGCAGCATGTTGGTGGGAACTCGGGCCACAAACGCCTAGAAACTTGCGTTGTGATTCGACTCCAGCTGCGTCACCCTCAATGTCAGGTCACTCCTGGTCCGTATATAGAATGGTGCCCCGCCTGCGATAACGGTATACGCTGCCGGGGCACCAGTGGAGGGTGATAGGATGAGCATGAGGTCAGGTCAGAATAAACCCGCGACCATTGGAAGTAAAATGTTGTTAGTAGACCGCAACAGCCGCTAGATCACCGAGGCGATCAATGAAGACAAAATATTTGTCACCTGCAAGATTTGAACCCGCGTACTAGAAGTACGCTAACGGTTTACGCTGGCGGGGTACCAGTGGAGGATGATAAGATGAGCATGAGGTCAGGTCTGTTAGCCCATCGTGACAAATTCACCAAGAATTTATCACGATGGTTTCCAGGGGGAACCGCGTGGAAGTCAACCTGACATGGTCCTTGTCGGCGGTCACTATCCAGTCATATCTGAGCTTACTCTCATTCTATCGTCGTTAACACAATCCACCCATCTTTTTGTTGGGCTTCCTCCCTTTGCTTCTAGTCTATGTTGATCTTAAGTACCTCTTTTATAAATTGGTATATTATCGCCAGAAGATAATTGCGGGCAACATCAACTGCCATTCCATAATAATCAAAAGCATATAATTTTATAATAATTATATTTATAAATAGGCATGTCTCTTAACTGATATAATGGGATGATAGTAATGGGTTCATTAGTCCCCATTACTAACAATCCAATTTCCCCCAGTAAAACAGTGTTTTTTTTTTCGTGGATGATAATGGAATGGTGCACTCGCCTGCGCTAACGGTTTACGCTGGCGGGGCACCAGTGGAGGATGATAAGATGAGCATGAGGTCAGGTCTGTTAGCCCATCGTGACAAATTCACCAAGAATTTATCACGATGGTTTCCAGGCGGAACCGCGTGGAGGTTGACCTGACATGGTATATTGCTAGCAATGAGGTTATCAATCCACATTACTAACAATCCCCTTTCCCCCAGTAAAACAGTGTTAGCAGACCGCAACACAACCGCTAGATCAACGAGGCGATCCTATAGTGCGAATGACCATGAAATGTAGTGTTCCATAATTGGAACAGGGATTCGAACTTCGCTCGATTTTCCTCAAAGCTGGGCACGATAACTCAACACGACATACCTACCTGTTAATACATACATACCTATTGTTGTTTTACTATATAAATTAAAATCGCTGTTAAAAAATAGGGGTCATGTTAGAAGAGTGAAAATATAGGGTTGAATATATTTTTAAATGCCACATTATAAAAAAAGAATTCCCAAAAAATAAAAATAAAATATTAGGGGTAGACAACCTTACCATTTAGGGATATAAAAAATAGTAGCCGATTCTCAGACCTACTAAATATGAATATAAAATTTCATAAAAATCGGTCAAGCCACTTCATAGGAGTATGGTAACTAACATTGAGACACGAGAATTTTATATAACTAGCAGACCCGGCCACGCGTTGCTGTGGCTGAGGTTCTTGAATAAAATAATATTGCGACTATAAATTGAGATGTAAGCTATCCTATCTTTCAAGTTGCTTTGTTGCATTGCTGAGAAGTGGGGCCCCATTTTTGATATGCCCCAGGGCACTTGGTTACCTAACTATGCCACTGGATAAGATTTTTTTTGTAGTTTTCGTACATATATTAATTTTTACGGTAATAAGCTACAAACCAATTATTTTTTACTTTTCATCTAATAAATATTTTAAATAAGTATATGTTTTAAACGAAAAAAAGATTATTAAAAGAGTAAACAGTGTTTTGTATGAGTAGTTTTATTGAATTTAATCAGTGATTAGGTTATACAGAACTATTGAGCTGAGCGCGAAGCATGGAGCGATCTTAGTGATCAAATTTGCACTCTTTGTAACGATAACAGCTTGACCGATCCAGACCAAAATTTCATTAAAGATCGACATAGGCCCTCCATCGTTTACCACTCAAAAAAATTCCTTTAGGAAGGGTCGGTGATAAAGGTTACCACAAAACTAAGCATGAGGGGAAAAACGCGCTCCGCTCAACATGTGATCTGGTGTGTAAACAACACACTGGTTACAAACCTAGTTTATTAACGGTTAGGTAAAGCATTGCAGTGCAGTGCAGTTAAAAAATGCAGTTTATTAATACTCATATCTTGTCCTTTTTGACCCGGAACACATAAGTTGTCAGCAAGTTACTAGAGGTAGACTGTGTAAAGTCGTTTGCTTATCCCTTTCAGCCTAGTATTTAGCTTCTTTATAGGAAGTATTTTAAGTTAAAGGGTTAAGATATGGCAATGAAATCACATACAGGTATAGACGGAATGGCAACGCGTGAGTGGTACCATTGGCGTCAGTTGATGACGTAATATCCGGTGTGCTGTTGAAGTTTGTGAGTATGGATGGGTACATGTTTGTTACTGTTCCACGCAGAAACTACTGAATGGTTTTTAATGAAACTTTACAGTAATATAGCTTATACATCAGAATAACAAATTTCATGCTGGTGAAAGAGCAGGCACAGCTAGTGAATGTAGGCAAGGGTTACCATTTACCATCAGATTGACCGTTTGCTTATTTACCATATCAATTGTAAAAAAATACACTATATTTTGTTATTTCTGACCCGTGTTTTTTCGGACTCTGATGCTGTTGGCCGCTGGCTTACAGCTTCACCGGACGATGGGCGATGAGTGCAGATGGCACTCCAAACCAAAGGAAGGACTTATGGAGCAGCTGAAGGCCAACTCCCGCCTGACAGATACGACTTTAGTCCGAGGGCACCGCTAGGGGATCGAACCTCGGCTCGGGCCTTCGTAATTTCGATCCTCGTTTGAATTGATCGGATTTGCTGGCCCGGAAAACATGACTTGTATGAAAGTAATTTGATAATTATAAAACTCCATCTAAGCTATGTTCTCCTGGTACCAGATGTCGGTGGGCCTGCAACGGCGCGTACCAGCGTTGGACGAGGGCGCGGGCGGCGTGCCGGCGGCATGGAAAAGTGGGAACAACGACGCGCCCTTCCCTTCGTTCGCGCCGCCCGCGGGCTCCCCGGCGGGGCCCGCGTTCGCGGCGTCCCCGGCGCCGTCCACGCCGGGCCCCGGGCCCGGGTTCGCGGGCCCGCCGTACGCCGCGCCGGGGCCCTTCGGCAGCCCGTCGGCGCGGCCCGGCTCGGGCGGCGGCTTCCCCCCGGGCCCGCCGCCGCCGCAGGGCCATTTCCCGGGGCCGGGGTTCGCCCCACCAGGCTCGCCGTTCCACCCACACCCGCCACATCCGCCTATGCCGCCGCATCCACACATGATGGCTCCGTTGCCACCGCCAGTAGACAGGTGAGTTCTTGTACCCACTTTTTTGTTTCTTTATTTCTTTAAGGACTTGACATTATTTATTAAAAAAAAAACCAGAGATGGATAAACGTATCGATTACTGTTTTCGAAAACAAATGCATGAGTAAATAGATATATAAATTTGAAATTGGAATTCCTAACCAAAGGGAGATATTTGAGATCAAAGTGGTCAGTACGACAAAACGCCAATTTCATATGTAAGGACCTAAGGCCTAAGGACCCATTTTATAAATACCTTATAGAGTAACATATAGATATTGAAATTAATATAACATTCTAGCTGACTCTGCAAACGTTTGGCCGTATAAATTAAAATTGCTGTTAAAAGATATAGTTGGTGATAGAAGGGTGAAAATATAGGGTTGTATGTATTTTTTAATGCCACATATAAAAATTAAGGTAAAAAAATTTGCAAAACAATAAAAAAGAATGTTAGGAGTGGACAACCCTAATCACTTAGGGGTATGAAAAATAGATAGCTGATTCTCAGACCTACTGAATATGGATATATTCATAAAAATCGGCAAGTTTCGGAGGAGAATGGTAACTGTGACGTGAGAATTTTATATATAAGACTAACTGTTCCCGCGACTTCGTCTGCGTGGAATTTATTTTTTTTAAACAATAAAAAATCTAAAGTAAAAGCCTAAGTTACTCCTTATTACATCAACTGCCAAAAAAAAAACCTGTCAAAATCGGTCCAGCCATTTCAGAGATTAGACGGAACAAACAGACAGACAGGCAAAAATTGTAAAAAAATATTATTTTGATGTATGTACCGTATTTATATTCAAATGCATATAGTAAAAAACGATTATTACAATATTACAAACAGACACTCCAATTTTATTTATGTTTATGTTATTATATTTGAAATTTAAATAAAAAAAACTAGAATAATTAAATTAAGTACTAGGAAATCATAAGAATCAAGGTATACAGTGACAGTAAAAATCGCAAATTATTATCCTCAGTAGAATAAAATAAAATTCGTATCACCTACGCGTGTGCACGAGTTAGAGAATTAAAGTATAAACTTGAAATAAACTAACAATTAGAATATTTGGTTGAAATAATTAAATTAAGTACTAGGAAATCATAAGAATCAAGGTATACAGTGACAGTAAAAAATGGTAAACTAACCTCCGTAGAATAAAATAAAATTCGTATCCCCTACGCGTGTGCGCGAGTTAGAGAATTAAAGTATAAACTTGAAATAAAGTAATAACTAGAATATTTGGTTTAAATAATTAAATTAAGTACTAGGAAATCATAAGAATCAAGGTATGCAGTGACAGTAAAAATCACAAATTATTATCCGCCGTAGAATAAAATAAAATTCGTATCCCCTACGCGTGTGCGCGAGTTAGAGAATTAAAGTGCTTATAAATAAACTGAAATAAACGAATATTTGGTTGAAATAATTAAATTAAGTACTAGGAAATCATAAGAATCAAGGTATGCAGTGACAGTAAAAAATGGTAAATTAACCTCCGTAGAATAAAACAAAATTCGTATCCCCTACGCGTGTGCGCGAGTTAGAATTAAAGAATAAACTAACAATTAGAATTAGAATATTTGGTTGAAATAATTAAATTAAGTACTAGGAAATCATAAGAATCAAGGTATACAGTGACAGTAAAAATCACAAATTATTATCCGCCGTAGAATAAAATAAAATTCGTATCCCCTACGCGTGTGCGCGAGTTAGAGAATTAAAGTATAAACTTGAAATAAAGTAATAACTAGATATTTGGTTTAAATAATTAAATTAAGTACTAGGAAATCATAAGAATCAAGGTATGCAGTGACAGTAAAAATCGCAAATTATTATCCGCCGTAGAATAAAATAAAATTCGTATCCCCTACGCGTGTGCGCGAGTTAGAGAATTAAAGTATAAACTTGAAATAAAGTAATAACTAGATATTTGGTTTAAATAATTAAATTAAGTACTAGGAAATCATAAGAATCAAGGTATGCAGTGACAGTAAAAATCGCAAATTATTATCCGCCGTAGAATAAAATAAAATTGGTGTCCGTGCATGTGTGCGTGAGTTAGAGAGGTAAGCACGTCGGTGTGTCGTCGGTGTGTGGGTGAGCTATAAAATCGTGTCTGTGTGAGTGCACAAATAAATGTAGGTGAACGGTACGTATATATTTTGTGCTGAAGCATGTACCGACAGCAGGAGAAAAATAATTAGCAGAAATTATTTTATTACAATTGTTTTTGTTTTGTTAATCTGCTTTTTTTTTTAAATAAAATATTTACGATCCTGTACTAGAAAGAAAGAAAGAAAAATATTTTATTCAGTGCAATGTAAAAAATACAATATAAACAACAAACGAAAAATAAAAGCAAATAAAATGTACATATAATTAAACTTAATTTACCGTGTAGATAATTAAAAATATAAAATAATACTACAATATATATTCACATCAAAATTGGTTCAAATCATTAAGTCAAATAAAAAAATATTAATAAACAATAGAAATAATATATTCGGTTAATTGTCGGTTTTTTATACTATATTATCGATTTAGAAAATTACAATCGATTTTTAATTATTATTTTTATAATAATAGTATGGATAGGATCTAGTAAATACAATTAAAATGAGAATAGTTACACAGAGTAAGACCACAAAACACAAATTCTTTAGAAATTTATAATGATAGTTTCAATGTAGAAGAGAATTGTTAGTAATCTGGACTAAAAACTCTATTGTTAGCAATGTATCACGTCAGGTTGACCTCCACGCGGTTCCCCTTAGATACTATAGCGTTAAATTCCTGGTGAACTTTCCACGATAGGCTAACTGACCTGACATAATCATGCTATCGTCCTCCAATGATGCCCTGCCAGCGTATACCGTTCACTTAGGCGGGTGCAACATTACATTATCCATAAAAAAACTGTACCTGTTGCCATGGACGAACAATTGCCAATCGCTCGGAATATTTTGAATGAAATTCATTTTTGGTTTGGTATCGGTGTGTCCTTTAACGGAGTGACACGGAGTTACTTGTTATGCAGTAATTATTTATATAAAAAAACATCTATTAAAAAGAGCAACACACAAGTTTCTTGCTCATTCTTATTGTGATGAATCTGCATTCCGAATGAGTAGTTGAATCAAAATATGACTATTCAAAAGTGCTTGTAATGAGTTTATTTGAATTAAGATTATTTCTATTTCTATGACAATAACGAATATAAATTGTTACATATTTTTTTGGCCAAATTTGAACTCACAACCTTCCTGGACCACGCCACGACATTTTCAATATTAATATATTTTTTAATAATAATAATAATAAAAAAAAAGCATCCTAATTTCATAACATTTGTCTGCGAACGGTACTCACCCACCCCGTGTACTACCTCTATCTATACGTATACTAGTCTATGTATTCGTCGGTACCGCTGCGCCCACCGTCACCTGACCTCCCGCTGCCCCCGTGGGCCGTACTAAACCAAGCCGTGACAGGCCTTGAGGGTGACATTACAGGGCTCAAGTTATAATGGCAGGTATATACGTACATAAGTAAAGACTATATGGAGTGAGACGCCACTCGGTTGCTCGAGTGTCGTCTGCTGCGCTCCCCGATCAGAATCATTCGAAATTCGAATGAATTTTTGACGTTAATTTTTTGGGCGTGACGTATTACTGGCCAGTAGAATAATAGAATGTATTTTTTAAACAAATTGGAATTTACTCTTTTTAATTTATTGTATCCTAGTACCTTACATTATCGTAATAATAATAATCTCAGGACAATTCACACAGCGCCATCTAGACCCAAGTTAAGATAGCTAAAGCTTGTGTTATGGGTACTAGACAACTGATACAAATATGTTAAATTAATATTAAAATGCAGTACAATAATAATAATAATCTCAGGACAATTCACACAGCGCCATCTAGACCCAAGTTAAGATAGCTAAAGCTTGTGTTATGGGTACTAGACAACTGATACAAATATGTTAAATTAATATTAAAATGCAGTACAATAATAATAATAATCTCAGGACAATTCACACAGCGCCATCTAGACCCAAGTTAAGATAGCTAAAGCTTGTGTTATGGGTACTAGACAACTGATACAAATATGTTAAATTAATATTAAAATACAGTACAATAATAATAATAATCTCAGGACAATTCACACAGCGCCATCTAGACCCAAGTTAAGATAGCTAAAGCTTGTGTTATGGGTATTAGATAACTGATACAAATATGTTAAATTAATATTAAAATACAGTACAATAATAATAATAATCTCAGGACAATTCACACAGCGCCATCTAGACCCAAGTTAAGATAGCTAAAGCTTGTGTTCACATAACACAAGCTTTAGCTAGCCTACTAGATAACTGATACAAGTACATAGATATTTTTCCGTAAATAGATATTATGCATAGAAAATACGCAGACCGATACAAACAATCATACTCATGAATACAAATGTTTGTGCCGTGCGAGGAATCGAACCCGCGACCACCGGAATTAAGGCGATGCCGCTCGGTAGTCTACCGAGGCCGTCGTATTGTACCACATTATATTGCCATTTTTGTTTCCAATATAGGTCTAATTTTAAATTAAAATAGTAGACATAAATAATTTTGATCGTTTGAAATTGTGTTTAATATATTTAGGAAACTATCTGTTCCCGTGACTTCGTCCACGTGGAATTTAACTTTATTTTTCTAAAATAAAAGTGGCCTAAGTTACTCCTTATTACATCAGCTACCAGCCAAAAAGAGGCCCGTCAAAATCGGTCCAGGCATTTCAGAGATTAGAGCTGAAACAAACAGACAGAAGGACAATTGTTAAAAATTGCAAATAGTAAAAAATATTATTTTAGTATATGCACCATATTTATATTCATACGCATGTAGTAAAAAACGGTTATTTCAATATTACAAACAGACACTACAATTTTATTTGTATAGATACCATACAAGAAATGTAGTAGT